TTGGAGCCTGTGTTGTTTTTCTTTGGTAACTCGCCTCGTTTCCATAGTTTAGGAGTCTCTCGGCGCTGGCAATTGCGGTAGCTAGGTCTTGGACCTTTTTCTTGTGTATTTTTGTTTTGGCCCACGGTTGTAACCCATTTATAAAGAAGAACACCTTGTCCTTCTCTGATGTGCCCCTAATATCTAGCATCAAGGTCGAAAATTGTCTGACATAGTCCCTTATGCTTCCAGTTTGCTTTAGCGCTATTAGTTTTTCCATTGCTAGATGGTCTACATTTTCGGGGAGGAATTGGTCCCTCAACTCTCTCTTGAGGTCTTCCCACAAATCTATGGTGTACAATTCATTCTCGATGTCTTGTACCTTCAAATGCCATCAAAGTTTGGCGTTGTCTATGAGATACATCGAGGCTACTGTCACCTTCATGTTGTCGGTACAAGCCGGTGTGGCTTTGAAGTACTGTTCGACATCAAAGATGAAGTTCTCCAACTCTTTGGCATCTCGGTTCCCTTTGAAAGGTCTAGGTTCGGAAACTTCAGTTTGTTGGATCCTGTATTAGTTTGCCCAGCCGAGACGTTCTCCATGGCTTTCATGGTCACCTCGATTTGGGTGCTCATGGCGGACATCTTTTCTTGCATGTCATCGATCGTTGTTCTGAATTCGTCAGCTAATCCATTGAACAAACTCATCATTGTATTTTGTAGCATGTCGAACTCTTCGCCACGTCCCTCCTTGTGTGCGACAGAGCTATCGGGGCTACCAGACGGTCTTGGGCTGCTCGTAGGAGCAACCTTTTTTTCGAGTGAGGTCACTCGAAACATCAGTTCTGCGATTGCCAACCCATCCAGGCAGTTACCCATTGTTTCGATTTCTATGACTTTTCCACTCAATTCCTTCACGCATGCTTCCAGGAAGCGGATGGTATCAGTGACTTCTTTGAGGAACAACATTTCATCCTCTATTAAAGTAAGCCGGTCGGCTTGTGCTTTGGGTGTCGACTTTGTCGTCGACATGTTCTCGGTCTTTGCTATTTCACGGAGCTTACAAAGCTCTGATACCACTTGTCACAATCGCACTTTTAATAGCAGCGGACTTGTGATTGTGCAGCACTCACTTTCCAACGACAAGTGAGCTAAGCCAATTCGTTCTTGCGTCACCTACGACCAAGCGACGTATGCTCGAGCCTCTGGCCTCGGTTTTAAGACAAGGTTTTAGAAAGCGAGGGCAGAGAGAGATTTTCGAAAGAGATGTTATATAAGCAAGCAAGAGAGAAATAACAACGGCTTGCAGTATATAACCTTGGGTAGGGAGAAGTTGACAACTAGTCGTATCCCCCTATAGTACATTCTGAGGCATTTCATGTCTGACAAGCAGAGACATGATATTTCTTAAACTTAATACTTCCTAGAAATATAAAAGTAAAACACTAGAATATGAAAAGACATAAAGGGTTGGGCTTGTCATGGGCATGCGGTCATGGGCAACACGCCTTGGACGAGCATGACCGTGACACTGGGCTCCAAAGTGGGGTGAATTGGGGGGTCCCACATTGATTGGAGAAGGAAACGAGTGCCAGTGAGGACGCTGGGCCTTGAAGGGGGTGGATTGTGAGATCCAACATCGGTTGGGGAGGAGAACGAAACATTTTTTATAAAATGTGGAAACCTCTCTCTAGCAGACGCGTTTTAAAACCTTGAGGGGAACCTCGAAAGGGAAAGCCTAAAGAGGACAATATCTGCTAGCGGTAGGCTTGGGCCATTACAAATGGTATTAGAGCTAGACGCCGAACGATGTGTTAGCGAGGAGGCTGAGCCCGGAAGGGGGTGGACACGAGGCGGTTGCTAGCAAGGACGCTGGTCCTAAAGGGGGGTGGATTGGGGGTCCCACATCGATTGGAGAAGAGAACGAGTGCCAGCGAGGACGCTGGACCCTGAAGAGGGTGGATTGTAAGATCCTACTTCGGTTAGGGAGGAGAACTAAACATTTTTTATAAGGGTGTGGAAACCTCTCCCTAGCAGACGCGTTTTAAAACCTTGAGGGGAAGCCCGGAAGGGAAAGTTCAAAGAGGACAATATCTGCTAGCGGTGGGCTTAGGCCATTACATATCTTTTGGTGTCATGAGTTCAAATTTTTTTTTGTTGTAAACCTAATAAAATTAAAGTTTTCTTGTGGCTTTGGAGTGGCCGAAGAAGCGTTTGAATTGTCAAGAAGAAAGAAAAGAAAGAAAAGGGTTAAAATATTATTTTGACCGGGCTCATTTCATTTTAATCTCTATACTTCTAAACGTCGTGAATAGATATGATCAGCGTAGTGACGTGTTTGAGAATGACAATAGTTATAATGTGTTTGTTTTGATTGGTAAATAGGTCCGCTGCTGCTGCTGACAAGTTAGAGAAAGCTGGTTTTGAAAACATAGCTTGTATAACATCAGGACTCCAATCAGTAAAACCAGGTTGAAATTTTCATCTAATTTATCGTAATTGATTAGTTTTCATGTTCGTTAGTCGTATTATGGAACACCGAAAAAACCGGTTGGCTTATTAAATGATCTTTTGAGTCATGAAAATGACTCGACAAAGAATTGTTTTATGTTAAACAATACGTGGAGTAAATCTCAATAAAAGTAAGATGTGTAGGCAGATCAACTCATCATGTTTTCATAGAATTCACGTTTTTGGTTCTTTTGTACGCTACGATAGGCACATTTGAGTCGGTTGGTTCGGGTGAGTTACAAGATGCTGGCAAAGCTGGTTTGGTGCAGATCCAAGGCAAGATTTCAGCTGTGCTAGGAACTGTTCTTATCTGTAAGCTTTCTCAACTCTATACCATCCTCCTTTTTAGGAAAATTTTGATAGGCAGCATCACTTTCTAAACTTTATTTCAAAATATAGGCTAAACTTATGCTTTAGTCGGTGTTTTTTCGATTTAGTTAAGGTGTTCATATGATCTGAGAACCCGATTAACCTAGATTACTCGATCAAGACCATAAAGGTTAGGTGGTGTTAGATTTTCTTCCGATCTGGGTTGGGTTGAATTTTTAAAAAATCGAAAATTCGGATCAGTTTGCAGGTTGACATTATTTTTTATCGAATCCCGAACATAGGTTTCCAACCCAATCTAACCCTACCCTACTTTTAAGATTATTACGAAGATTAAGAATATTTGATATTTGTAACTGAAGTTTTTCGAAACCCAACCCAACTTGAAAATAGATGGGTGGGTTGGGTTGAGTTGAGTTATGCACTGTATTCGGGTTTCTCAAGTCACGGTTGAGTTGGGTTGGGTTTTGACTGTACTCGAGTTAGTCCAAAAGATTTCCCTAACGCATCTCGTATACCCCTAGATTTAGTAGACACAAAATTAAAACTTTAATGGTCGATCAAACACGTTTTTATTGAACACAGAATCGAAAGTTTAGAAAGATTAGAGATTGATTCAAATCGATAAAAAAGATCTACAATTATGTAGTATGCATACTAACAGTTAGTTGAATGAATTTGGTAGGTGCATATTTGTTCATAACCCTGTTTCCAGATCAGGCTGAGAAGCTGCTTCAAATGGTACCATCAAGTTAAACCATTGTCCAAACATAAACCCTTTAATTTTAATTTTTGTTTATTTATTATAATTATTTTCTCTTTTTAAGAGCATATTTTTCCATACCATCCTCTCTTATCTTCCCTATCTCGACTACTTTATAAACGTTTCTCGACCATTTTATTAACGTAATGTCGGTTAGCTCTATTGGTTAGATATCGATATCTCTACCTACGAATCATAGATTTAAATTACCTCAAATTGTTAAGTAATATTTTTTTAAAAAAATTGTCAAATTAAAATAATGAAATTTGAGGACGGTAGACCCTAAATTAATAAAAATATTTTTTAAAAAGTTTAATTAATATTCGTTTTTTAAAAAAAAAAATAGAAATATCCATACTTTTAAAATTTGATATTTTTTATAATAGTAAAAAAAAAAAAAAAAAAACTGCCCTCTATTTTTTTTTTTTTTAATGAATATGAGATATTTTACTAATTAACATTTTATTTTTGTTAATATTAAGAATTTGAATAAACACTCAATAATTCGAACAAACCAAATCCAATTTGTAAATTTATAATTGAGTTAGGTTGAATTTGATTATAAAATAAAAATGGTTTGGATTAATACAATTTTGTTCTTCGACTTCTTACCGCTCCAGCCACTCTAATAGTTTGTCTCTCGAGTAGCTCAGCAGTCTGACATATGTTTCCAGACACATGTAAAGGCATGATTAATTTTACTAATCTAAAAAATTTATGACTCGAACAATTAATTTAGGTTTAAAAGTGTGTGGCTCATGCCTCAGGTGGTGCGCCCAAGCCAGAGTGGCTCAGCAGTCGCCCTATGTTTCCAGACACGCGTAAAGGCATGATTAGTTTCACTAATCTAAAAAATTTACAACCCGAACAATTAAATTAGGTCTAAAAGTCTGGCTTGCACCTCGGGTGGTGGGGTTGAACCAGAGTGGCTTAACAGTCGGCGTATGTTTCCAGACACGCGTAAAGGCATGATTAGTTTCACTAATCTAAAAAATTTACAACCCGAACAATTAAATTAGGTCTAAAAGTCTGTGGCTTGCACTTCGGGTGGTGGGGTTGAACCAGAGTGGCTTAACAGTCGGCGTATGTTTCCAGACACGCGTAAAGGCATGATTAGTTTCACTAATCTAAAAAATTTACAACCCGAACAATTAAATTAGGTCTAAAAGTCTGTGGCTTGCACTTCGGGTGGTGGGGTTGAACCAGAGTGGCTTAACAGTCGGCCTATGTTTTCAGACACGCGTAAAGGCATGATTAGTTTTACTAATCTAAAAAATTTACGACCTCAACAATTAAATTAGGTCTAAAAGTGTTATAACTCGACACTAAGACCGAGAAACTCCCTTAATTTCAACCCAATTTATAAAACTTTACTCGTTGGTTTCCGTTCATCTTTTCTCATATTTTCCTTCCTTGTCTGTTCGAAAGCTGTCGCTTCCCTCCCTCGGTTTGAGCAACAGAGTTTTATCTCCAAAAGAAACAAAGGAAAAAGTAAGTAAAAAGCCAAAGAGAAATTAAAGAGAGAGAGAAAAAAAAAATTATAATGGCGGTCCCGCAGCGGTGGTGAAAGCAATTGCACAATTTCAACGATTCATCGATAATCAATCATTAATCGTTTTAACTTTTTGTTCGAATTCCAAAGCCGATGAGGTATGGGCTAATCCCACTTCTGGTCCCCGTCGGATTGAGGTTATTAGTTTTCTTTTCTTTTAATCCCTTTCTTCAATTCCATTTCTGGTTTTGTTTTTAACGTTCGTATTGATTTTGCCACTTTTGAGCCACCCCCAGAATTTATCATTTGAATTGATCGTCTGTTTCTGCAATTTGACTCGGAATTCTCAACTAGGGATATGGATTCTCTTTGTTTTTTTTGTAAGATTTTCTTCTGTTATTGTTCTTGGTTTTTGTGTGGTTCTGTTTTTCTTTCTGGAGACTTGTAAATGAGGTCTTGTTTTGTTTCGTTCCTTAGGTTTCGTGCAAATGTTGTTTCGTTGTCGAATATTGATTTTCTAATTTAGAAATGGTTTATCAATTTGTACTTTGTAAAAGAGGAAGAACAGGTGCTGCTTGGTCTCATTTCGTTCGATTTCAGTCCATTTTTTAGGGCTTTCGGTGGATGAATTTTGATTTAATCACATGGTTTTTGAAATTTGACTGAAATAGGGTTGTTCTGATGGATTCAAATGAGCCTATGATTTCATTCAGTGATGTATCTCCACAATTTTAAAGCATTTGATATGAACTGAAACTTTTATGTAAGACTATGGTAGCATTCATGTTTGTTACTTTCCGTTTTCTATTTCTCCTCCAAAATAAAATAATCAAGTTAAGTTAATGTAGGATGTTTCGTTTTGTGTTCATGATTAGACATCTTTTGCTAAACTTTTATTATAATGGGTTGTGTATGCAACCTGTGACTGGATTGAATCCTTCGCGATAGCTAATGCCCTCTTCTTTCCCCCAACCCAACTGAGGGGAAGCACAGACTCCTAACAAAAGCGAAGCAAGCCGTGCTACTAGCGGGGATCTGTTTATCAGCTGGCTTCAAAGAAATGAACGCTTGACTAATCCGTCAGGGTGCTCCCGCCCTTAACCTAGGTTGAGACCTTTCGAGATTCTTAGTCAAGCCTCAACACCCTGTAATCTTTCTAAAGCGGTAACAGCACTCTAATACACCCTTATTAGATAGAGTCAATTTTCTCTTTTGTTAATGTACACTCTCAATTCTAAAAATTAAAGAGGGGCAAATGAGTGGAAAAGGATGAAATCTTTTCTTAATAAAATTTTGAATTTAAGATTGCCCCTCCTTTGTCTTGGCTCTACCTATGGTTCTTGGCTTATTCAGAAAAGTAATGATTCTGGTGATGGTGGCAGTTTGGGGTTAGAGGGACAGAAGAGAAAAATCTTGTTTACATTTATTTGGGCATGGAGAAAGCATAAAGAATAACTTAGGTCCCCAGAGATGATTCCAAGTTGATATTAGACAAACCGTAATATTGAGCGAGCTCCGTGTTATTTGGGATTTCACTATTGCTTTGGGTTTGGAAGGAATCTAGATTGCTTTATATTTATTTCATCAAGGTTTTTCAAGTAAAGAGTTCATCAAACTAAATAAATTTTGAAGTTGATCTTTCAGTATTTTGAAGCTTCTTTGTCAATGAATGCCTGGATGTGCATGTGCGTTGGCACAATCCAACTTTAAGCTAGGATGTTTAAACTCATAGTCTTGATAAGCTTGCCTTGTTAGGTTTAGGTTCGGTAGTACTAGTTTCCATGCTTGGACTATACAATGGAACAGTTTGTAAAATCTCGAGGTTTGTGTAATATGTGTTTGTTTAAGATTAATAATATACAAACTTCACATAGTAATAGAAAAGGTGGGTTTTAAACCTTGAGTTTGTGTAGTTTGTAGGATTAGCGAACTTATAGCTTGGAATACGAAACTCGAAGTACCATACGCTCGAGTTCTGTTAACTCAATGTTATATAAATCTAACTATGAGCTAGCGACCAATATCGGTTACTAAAGAATCTAGCAAATGGCCAGTAAGCATATATGTGTTGTTTCCAGTTCAGATTATAAGAAAATGAGGGTGTTGCTAAGTCCTGTATGTTATTAAGCATTGTTGATCATGTTTAGTTTTCGTTATCGCCCGACTTTCATTCAAATTATACCAACAAATCTCCGAACAACACGAAACATTTCGTCTAATATGTTCACTGACAAGCCCTTTTCCTTTTTTTTGTCTGGTTTAATAGGATTGAACTCATGGATGGGTGATGGCTGCCATATGGTGAAGAGTTTCCTATAATAGCTTAAAGAACTCCATTAAAATTTAAATGGCTATGGCTCCAGGAAGCAGTACCTGCAAAGAAGTAGTTGATTCTCATCCTTCAGTTTCAGGGCATGACATAGCAATGTCTAAATCAGAGAATAATTCTACATCTTCAAAAGTCCTACTTGGTTCGAGTGGGAAGCTTGGAGTTTATTCAACCAATGGCGTGCAAGAATTGCTCGAGTGTCCTGTCTGCACAAATCTGATGTACCCTCCAATTTACCAGGTATGTACCTTATATCCTGTTTTTCCTCTTGTACTTCTCGTTATAAATTAAGCTATGCTCGGGAGTGTTCGGAGTGCTTTCAGCGTGGAAAAAAGTACTTTTTCTGTATGGCTTAATTTCTTAATTCTTGATTCAAAGGTTGATTTGGACTCTGTACCGTGGCGAATTCTCCATGTTGCTGGTTCTTTAGTTCTTTTCTTAGTATTAAGGTTGTATTGAAGACATAGAACATCTCTTTATTCTTGAATCTTTACGTCGTGGAGGTGTGATATATTTTTCCGCTTCTGCTTTGTTTCGGACTTTCTTGACTGGCTTTTGAACTTTAGTGCCCAAACGGCCACACACTGTGCTCAAACTGCAAGATCAGAGTTAGCAACTGCTGCCCGACCTGTCGTCATGAACTCGGAAACATAAGGTGCTTGGCATTGGAGAAGGTAGCTGAGTCGCTGGAAATCCCCTGCAGATACCAGAATTTGGGTTGCCAAGATATTTTCCCTTACTACAGTAAGCTTAAGCATGAGCAACACTGTCGATTCCGTCCTTACAACTGCCCTTATGCTGGATCCGAGTGCTCGGTCACGGGCGACATCCCGTCTCTTGTTGCACATCTCAAAGATGATCACAAGGTTGACATGCACGACGGGTGTACCTTCAATCATCGCTATGTGAAATCAAATCCACACGAAGTTGAAAACGCCACATGGATGCTAACGGTAGGTGCTTGCTCTATATAGAATCAGTATACTTTCTCACCATGCTTCACTTCACATAACTTAACTATGTAAGCTATATATACAAGTTTTCTTGAAAATCAAATGTATAGTTAAATGGTTCGTCCCGTGAGTATATATAAATATATATTTCGATAAACCGTGTAATCTGAACGATGATAATTGCTAGCTAAAGGTCTGAAAAACCGGGTTGTCTTCCATCTTTGAGCATTGGAATATTTTATAGTAGCTTGCAATGGCAGGTTTTCAACTGCTTTGGAAGACAGTTCTGCTTGCATTTCGAGGCGTTCCAGCTAGGAACAGCGCCTGTTTACATGGCGTTCTTACGATTCATGGGCGAAGATAACGAAGCAAAAAAGTTCAGCTACAGTTTGGAAGTGGGTCACAACGGGCGTAAACTGATATGGCAAGGAATTCCGAGAGGCATCCGTGACAGTCACCGAAAAGTTCGTGATAGTCAAGACGGTCTCATCATTCAAAGAAATCTGGCACTGTATTTTTCGGGGGGAGAAAGACGAGAGCTGAAACTGAGAATCACGGGTCGAATATGGAAAGAAGAATGAGAGCAGGAGCAAGGGCCTAAGCTAAGCTCTTGTGGTGTTCAGGTGAATGTATCATTGTACAGGTAAAACAAGTTTGTTCTCCAAGTGCTGAAAAAGCTCTTGGAGAAACTTCCAAGCTAATATAAAAAATGTAACCTACAAAATGAATCAAAGAAGCTTTTATGTATTTAAAGCCAAGTTTCTCTTAAGTCTTTCTTTTGTTAGTATGATTCATTAGCTCTGCATTTCAAATTGTTCGTTTGGCAGGTGTTTTATGGCTGTCCATGGAATGGAGTTTTGGCACTTGGAAATATTAAAATTACTAATCGGTCCTTATAGTTCGAGATTCGTTTCAATCTAGTGTCTGGTTTTTTACGTTAAATTTTGTTTGTATAGTTTGAGCTTAGCTTCAATTCTATCAACCGAGTTTAAATTTTGAGAATTAAATTAAGTTAAGACGTGTGACATATGATTCAAAACCATATTTAAAAGCCTAATCGACTAATTATGATGATAGCTAAACTTAGAAACGAGTAGGGTTTGAAGTTTAGACAGTTTAAAACATAGTTAGTTTCCACTTGCCTGTTTTTTAAAACATAGTTAGCTTCTACTTGTATGTTTGAGAGCTTTGATAGTCTTAACATGTTTATGAGTTTCATAACATGCCTAGATTGATTTTATTCCGGCTATGTACTCTAGAGTGTCTGTTATGATGGTTTTATCACTGTTTACGTAATATGATATAATAACATAGTTGTAGGTCCCATTTTCTTTCTTGGGTTCTTTTCCAATAAGTTCCATTCTACTGTATGCAATCTAGAACATCGTCCAGGATCATCAACTAGATACCTTGTAGGAATGATTAAGGGGTGCAACCTTTATTCGTAAACTAACCAAAAGAGTTTAGGACTAGATACCTTGTAGGAATGGTGTAGGAATGATTAGGGGTGCAACCTTTCGTGAACTAACCAAAAGAGGTTAGGATCGATTAGGATCGATTTGGTACATAAGTCTCAGTGGTCACCTACAGTGAGTTACAAGAATAAAAGAGGGTTCGTTATTGAGTTAGTATCAGTTGCGCCTAATGGGGGAGCCAAGCAATTTACTATCTCCGCTCGAGAGGCAGGTAGTTTATTTTGAAATATTTTGAGACTATTGGAAAAATTCAAAATTTTTAAAACAAAAGGTGAACGTAATCCATTTTAGATTTAAAATAATTTCCGTGTGAAGAAAAACGGGAGAGCTGAAATCCGCGCTCACGAACAAAATTAAAAAGACCCATACACTCATTTGATTTGATCTTCGATTATTACACATGCCTTTCCCCTCTCTTCTTCTCTAAATCTCTCGTTTTCTCCCACACCCTCTCCATTTCTCCCTCTAAAATGGAAGAAGACGATCCCAGTAAGGTTCTTGATCTCGTCAAGGATCTTGTTCTTCGTCTTCTTTCCCACAATCCCACCTCCAATTCCAGCGCTACCTCTTCCGATTTCCAAAAGTCCCTTCGCTATGCGATTCGCATTCTTACTAGCCGAATGACTCCCTCCATTGCTCCTGATGCTGCCGCCATTGCTGAGTCCATCAAGCGTCGGCTCGCCACTGAGGGTAAGTCTTCTCAGGCGCTCACTTTTGCTGATCTTTACACTAAATTTGCGTCTAAAACTGGCCCTGGGAGTGTGAATAATAAGTGGGCTGTGCTTTATTTGCTCAAAATTGTGGCGGAGGATCGGAAATGTAGACAGACCCTGTTTGAATCTTCAGTGCTTTTGCCTAATTTAGTGGCGAGTGATCCTGTGTTGGGAAAGAAGTCTGGGGGGGCGGAGAAGAAGTGGCAGAAGGGGGTTTTGCTTGTTTCGAAAGACCCTGAGAATCTTCGCGATGTTGCTTTTAAGGAGTTTGCTAATTTGCTAAAGGAGGAAAATGAAGTGTCTGAAGAGGTTTTGGTGAGGGATGTGTTGTATGCTTGTCAAGGAATTGATGGGAAGTATGTGAAATTTGACAACAATGCTGATGGGTATGTTTTATCCAATTTCGTTAAGGCTCCCAGGGCAACTAGGACAATGGTTCGCAAGCTCTGTGAAATTGGGTGGCTGTTTAGGAAGGTTAAAGGTTATATCTCAGAGAATATGGAACGTTTTCCAGCCGAAGATGTTGGAACTGTTGGACATGCTTTTTGTGCTGCATTACAGGATGAGCTTTCAGAATACTATAAACTGTTGGCAGTTGTCGAAGCTCAGTCGATGAATCCGATACCTTTGGTTTCGGAGGCAGCAAGTTCAGGAAACTATCTGTCTCTAAGGAGATTGGCAGTCTGGTTCGCAGAGCCAATGGTGAAAATGAGGTTGATGGCTGTATTGGTGGACAAGTGTCGGGTCCTGAAGGGTGGGGCAATGGCTGGGGCCATTCATTTACATGCTCAGCATGGTGACCCCTTGGTGCTCGAATTCATGAGGCGTTTGTTGCGGCGTGTATGCTCTCCACTTTTTGAGATGGTAAGGAGCTGGGTATTAGAAGGGGAGCTGGAAGACATTTTTTCTGAGTTTTTTGTTGTTGGTCAACAAGTGAAAGCTGAATCTCTCTGGAGGGAAGGTTATAGGCTTCATTCTGGCATGCTTCCATCGTTTATTTCGCAGTCTCTAGCCCAACGTATTTTGAGGACTGGGAAATCAATTAATTTCCTTCGTGTTTGTTGTGAGGACATGGGATGGGCTGATGCTGCAACAGAAGCAGCAGTAGCGGCTGGGACTACAACCAAAAGGGGAAGTCTTGGATATGGTGAAACCGATGCCCTTGAATCTTTGGTTGATGGAGCAGCAAAAAGAATAGACAAACACTTGTTGGATGTAATGCACAAGCGGTATAAGTTCAAAGACCACTGTCTAGCAATCAAGCGCTATTTACTATTAGGACAAGGAGATTTTGTCCAATATTTGATGGATATTGTTGGGCCTGAGCTTTCTGAACCTGCTAATTCTATTAGCTTGTTTAAGTTATCTGGTCTCCTCGAAACTGCAATTCGCTCCTCTAATGCTCAGTATGACGATCCCGACATCTTGGATAGATTAAAGGTTAAGATGATGCCTCATGGAACTGGAGATAGGGGTTGGGATGTATTCTCTTTGGAATATGAGGCAAGAGTTCCACTAGATACTGTATTTACAGAGTCTGTCATGTCGAAGTATTTAAGGATCTTTAATTTCCTTTGGAAGCTTAGACGTGTTGAGCATGCACTTATAGGTACTTGGAAGACGATGAAACCAAACTGCATCACGTCCTGTTCATTGACTAAGCTGCACCATGGGGTTAAGCTGCAATTACTCTCAACATTGAGGCGATGCCAGGTCCTTTGGGTTGAGATGAATCATTTTGTCTCGAACTTGCAATACTACATAATGTTTGAAGTCTTGGAGGTATCGTGGTCGGATTTTTCAAACGAAATGGAAGCGGCAATGGATTTGGATGCTTTACTTGCGGCTCATGAAAAGTATCTTCATTCAATATTTGAGAAATCTCTTCTTGGAGAACAATCTCAGCCACTTTGCAAGTCACTTTTTGTTTTGTTTGATCTAATATTGCGATTTCGAAGTAATGCGGACAGGTTGTACGAGGGAATACATGAATTACAATGCAGGTAATATTATATTTTGATTTATTTATTTTAATGCTTCTCTATGTGCTGTTCCTTTCTTCTTGGATTTAGTATGTCTCTTGTTGTTATGTAGAACAATAGAGTCATCTTTACCCTCCAGAGGCAAGAGTACAAATATCCGTTCAACGGAAAAATCTTTAGAAACAGCATCATGGTTAGCTGATGGCAAGAAGGCTCTAACGCAACGTGCTGGTGAATTTCTTCGGAATGTTGAACAAGATCTAGCTGCATTAGCTAAAGAGTATTCTTCATTACTTGAGGGATTCATTTCTCAGCTGCCTTTGCAACAGCATGTTGATTTGAAGTTTCTCCTATTCCGCCTTGACTTCACTGAATTTTACAGCCAGTTACAGCCTCGTGTGTAGAGTGGATGTCAGATGTGTATCATATGGCCTTTCAGGTTAGTCACAATTCGGGGAACTCCTAACAATTTTTTCATGGCAGCCACAGGGATCAACCATTGAAACTGTCTGGCATGTAATTTTAGGTATGCAGTTGTTCATTTGTTTATAGTTTTCTGCAGAGATTGTTGTTACATTTATGTGCCGATCTGAGCTTGTGTAAAATACTTTACAAGGGTTTGACCATCTTTATCATTTATGAATAGAAATGTTGTTTGCTCGTTACGTTTAGCCCAGAGTCTACAGTTCACTTTAATGTTGTTTTTGTTGTCTTGATTTGGATTATGTTAGTGTTTTTGTGAAAAATTGGTAGAAGAGCTAACAAGTCCACATTAGGACTAATTGAGGAGGAAATGACATTACGTTGTGAATGTATGATCACCTGCACTGATATCATGTTAAACCACTACTAAATCAAAAGCTTAAACGGATGAGTTACAAGAAATTTAATTGTATCAAAACTCAACACTTTTGACCAAAAAGACGAGCTAAATTTACGCCAACTGAAGTCCTTTTTTGCAACTCCCATGGCTTTTGGGGATTTTTCATCTCCTCCTTTTATACATCTTTTCGTTGATTAATGATTACATCTCGTTGTTATCAGAAAAAAAGGATGAGCAAAAGAGGTGACTTAGTGATTCTGCACTTTTTCTATACATAACACCTCAAGAAGGGGAAAGGAAAAAATTAGGTATTCTCCTTCAGTCAGTCGTATTTATGGCCGATGTCTAAGCTCTGTAGGGAAGCTTTAATTTTCCTTGGGTAGGAACCTTTGCAGATGACTGTGAACAGGTTATTTTTCTCTGATCCCTTAAGATGTCCCTTAAGACGGATTAATGTCCCCAACATTGACTTTGCTGAGAATATCTTGGACGAATCAGAGGACCAAAGAATCGTAAGCAAGGAGGCCTACTCTAAAATTTTATCTTATTTAAGGTTCCTTCAAAGCTCTAGGTCCCAAGCATTGTTAGCTAAGTTATAGAGGTCAACTACTGAATCATTTGGCCTATTGAAGAGCCTGTAGAGCTTTGGACGTGTGGTTTCAAGGCCGTCTCTCTCAATCCATGAATCGTGCTAAAATGAAGTGCGTCGACCATAGCCATGGATTCTTTTTATGCGGTTTCTAATATTGACTGATGATATGAACCTCTATGGAGCTTTGGTGGAGCCAACGTGAGAAGATTTTGGCTGAACATGAGTATCAGTCAGAGGATAATATTTAGATTTGATTTTTTTCCTTGAAGAACTAAACTTTCAAAATAAAAGAATAAAATTTAGCTCTGATAATCATTATTGTCTTTTAGAGATGATCTTGAGTTGGACAAGGTCCCAAAGGTGGATCACGAGCCTAATGTGGAACGAGCCTACGACACCTAGTTATAGAGAGAAAAAAAGGTTCTTAGGCAGTGTTCAGAGGTATGGACTTTTTTATACAGTTTAATGCTATGCTCTAGGCTCTATTACTTCAGCATTTTTAAATGGTAGGGAACTTAAGGGTAGTGGGTTTTTTTGTTGCTATGCTCAGCCTTGTATATATGCAGGGCATGCTTTTTATTTGGTTTCTCAGTTGCTTGCTATATACGTGCACTCTTATCTCTCATTAAAGTCCAAGTTCATTGTCAAAAATAGTTTATGGTTCATGCAGGCTTTATTTATGTATTGCCTAGGTTCCTTTTATATCATATTCTAGGATGTGTTTTATTTAGGTTGCAGACAGGAAACAGTTTTTCTATAAGGGTTTGTTGCTGGATGATTTTAAAATCATTTATTGAATATTTAATGAAATCTATTCAAAGGCCTACTGAGTAGCGATAAATCAATAACACTTACCATATCATAGGAATCTTATGTACTGACTTGTGATGAGTTCTGTAACGGCCCAGATCCACCGCTAGCAGATATTGTCCTCTTTAAGCTTTCCCTTTCGGGCTTCCCCTCAAGGCTTTAAAACGCGTCTGCTAGGGGAAGGTATCCACACCCTTATAAATGGTGGTTTGTTCTCCTCCTCAACCAATGTTGGACCGCCCCTAAATCCACCCTCTTTGGGGCCCAACATCCTTACTGGCACACCACCTCGTGTCTACCCCCTTTGGGGGACAATGAGAAGGCTGACACATCATCCAGTGTCTGGCTCTGATACCATTTGTAACGACCCAGATCCACCGCTAGCAGATATTGTCCTCTTTGGGCTTTTCCTTTCGGGCTTCCCCTCAAGGCTTTAAAACGCGTCTGTTAGGGGAAGGTTTTCACACCCTTATAAATGGTGGTTTGTTCTCCTCCCTAACCAGTGTGGGACGTGGGACATCACAAGTTTATTACCATGTCATAGTTTGATTGTACTTTTTTATAACTTAAATATAGTTTCAAAGAAATTTGGTAGTTGGGCTTCTTCCTCTTCATTGCTTATTTGAGCTTTTCTTTTCGAGCTTCCCCTCAAAGTTTTAAAATGCATCTGTTAGGGAGAGGTTTTCACACCCTTATAAGATATGTTTTGTTCCCCTCTTCAACCAATGTGGGATCTCACAATCCACCCCCTTGGGGCCTAGTGTCTTCGCTAGCACATCGCCCGGTGTCTGGCTCTGATACCATTTGTAACAGTCTAAACCCACTGCGAGATATTGTCCTCTTTAGGTTTTCCCGTCTAGGCTTCCCCGTAATGTTTTAAAACACGTATGCTAGGGAGAGGTTTTAACACCCTTACAAGAAATGTTTCATTCTCCTCTCCAACCAATGTGGAATCTCACGTGAACCCATATTGGATTTGACATTGCTGAAAAGGGTAGGTGATCTAGAATCAGCTTTTTCTGTAGCAATGACCAACCAACATTACCATATGGATAAAATTGGAGGGTCTTATATTCACGATGGTTTATTATATCCGATTGATATATGGAATAAGTTCGATGTTTTTTTGGGTATTTTATATTGGTACTAACACTTTATCATTCTATAATTATAGTTTTGTTAACTGGCACCTGAGTTGATTGTATAGAGGCAATATATTCAAAACAATTTGGTTCTTGTATTCATTTTATCGATGTTATTGACTCTGATGTTGGCTTGAAATTTGGAACTGGCTTTGTTTACCAGCAGTTCATATATGCGAGTTCTTTTTATGGCTGCTTTCTTCAGTTCAAAGCTTCTATATGGCACATGTCATTTGCTTGCCTTTGATTGAGATTTTATACATTTATAAGCTACTGATTTTATATGCATATGAAAGAAGCGAGTGAATTAACTCGGGATTGTTAGTTAACCCAGGGGCTGTTTGTAGCCATGATGCAACCATGGAGGAAGTAGCGAAGTCGACAAGCTGCGACTGTCGGAGTATATTAGATCGTACGATCTGTGGGAGGGTATGCTTTTGTTGGTAGTAAAGTAGTTGATCAAGTAATTTGTGAGGATTAGGATTACTATTATTACTACATTGCTCTCGTTTTAGGGTCTTTTCTTTCGTATTTTCTCTCAATGGGATTGCAACTTCACCAAGTGCAGCTTCCATTCTTCAAATTGGAAGCTGCATGGATTTCAATCATTGCCTACCAAGTGTGGAATCGTATTGTTTGTGATTGCGTGACGGATGACCCGATCATGCTTGTTAAGGATGTATTGTCTATAGCTGGATTCACGTTTCAAACCCCTTTAACTTGCTTTCTTGTATAATTAGGTTTTTACTATTCTTGTCGTGTCAATACAGAGGTGTATGATTGTTCACCAAAATCTTATGTACACTAGTTAGAGCTAAATGTCTCAAAATATACGATAGAGGATGTGATTAGTTGTCAATTCTTCCTACTTGAATTATATGCTATCAAAGAAGTGGTGGTGGTTGCTTATTCACTTTTAGCTTGTAACCTTGATTTTTTTTTTCTTCAAATTGTTTTTAACGCATTTCCTCGCTCATGTTTTTTAAAACATTTTTTTCCAAACGTGACCCAATGCTTGATCTTAGGGAAAGATTGTTTGTAAAGTTCAACTTCCATATGGTCGATTTTTTCATCGGGTTAGAACAATTGTTGCATAATCGTTATCCTAGTACCAAAAAAGTACCGATTGTGATACCTTACCACCAAAAAAGTAAATTATATAAAAAAAATGTAAGAAAAAACTGATTGTTAGAGTTTTTGTGTACTTTACGTCACCTTTTGAGTTTACATAGTGGTTCATGATTTCATGATTCTAAGCCGTGAAAAAATAGGTCGTTACTTTACGTCACCTCTTGTATATATGAAATGTTTTCATATATTACTTGCTACGGTATGGGAGCTCTTTTGGTAATTTATCTATTTTAGTACAATTGACATTAAATTTACGGATTTAAATAGATCCGATACCATATGCATAACTAATATTGTTAAAGTTCTCTTTTTATACAGAAATATTCATTTTAAATAGTTCATAAACAATGCCATGAACTTGTACATTAAAAATAAAATTCTTAAATCAAACTGACATTTAAAAAACGAAAATTAGAGGAATGAATGAAAACTAGTAAATAAAGCAATGTCCTACACTAACCTAAGACTAATAAGCAAAAGAAAAATGCAGCTACCCTAATACTGGTTCCATGGTCTCCAACGCAACATTACTGTTATTTGTACAGGGGTGCCTTACCTGAAATATATGAGTAGCACATGACTAGAGTATTTTAAGAAATACTTAGTGACCCTACTATTGAGGTTAGGGAATGCAAACCTATGCAATATGGGGGACCAATCATTTTATCATAGCATATCATGACCTTAGGCAGCTTTCCCATTCGGGCAAGGTTGGATGTGTATTACTTCTTACACATGACCCATGTGTGCGAGCATGGGTTCACCAGGCAGGCTCGCACACCCCTTAAGCTTGGCTTGTCGGACCAGCACTCGCTAATGGGCTCTTTATTGAACACCACGGAGGGAAAGAGCCATCAATATATCATGGTAAGCATATGTCATAAATCATATATCATATTGTACGGATCCTTACACAACATAGTGGGGAAGTATCCCAATGCACGTGTCACACAGAAATGCATGAGATCCCCACATCTTATAGTCATGACATAATATATGATGTAAAACAAACCTCCAACATTTCTAACATAGTGTGTGAATTATGCTTACATAAGTCCCGTGTATTTCCTATTACCTAGCTTACCTTCCATGACATTTTCTATGGAGGTTTACGTATCATAGCATCTAATTATCATATCACTTTTGTACCTAATGGCATGATCCTATCATAACGCAACTTATCATAGTATAACATAGCCTGTTGTGGTGTAACATGACATATCATAACATCTAAGTACATAGCGTAACATATCATTATCGAGCATAACTTATCGCAGCCTAGTATCACATAACATAGCATAGCCTATCATATCATAACATAGTATAGTATTACATAACATCACATAGCATAGCATAACATAACATTCAAGCATATGACACATGCAGAGGTCATGGGACACATGTCATCATACATAAGACAATAACCGATAGTGGAGTCACTTACTTGGTTGGCATGAGCCGAAGTCACTCAATAATCCTAAAGCTGATTCAAGGCACTCCTTGTCGTTCACTTTAACCTATATTTCCCCACGAGATCATATCAAGACATAACGTTAAACGCTCGTAAAATTTGACCAATGGTGTGTTTTAATATATATAATTGATGAAAATAATTACACAAAAAATGGATTAGAGGGAATCATACACAACCAAACCTCTGTTCAATTCTGAAAAAATTAGGGAAAAATTAATTAGAAGTATTCAAAATCCACATAATTGGGATCGCCACCAGTCGACGGCGAAGAATTCTCAGCAGCCACCGGCTTCTTCTCTTCCTGCACTCCGCCGCCGCCCTTCTTTCTGGCAAACTGGCTGAAATCCACCGGCTCCGGCACGTGTGGCGGCATTGCGCTTCTCACCAACGCCCAATTCACTCCATCAAAGAAGGGATGCTGCTTGATCTCAGTGGCGCCTCTTCTATAAGCGATCCTCTTTTGCGGCTCCTTGACCAGAAGCCCTCTGATGAGATCCCTAGCGGCTAGGCTGGCCTGCGGTGCCTCCGGGAACCTAAGCGGCTGCTCCACCACGTTGAAAAGCGTGGCTCTATTTCCAGACCCTTTGAAGGGTGTGGTCCCATGAAGAAGCTCGTAGAGGAAGATCCCAAAGGTCCACCAGTCGACCGCGCTGCCGTGACCTTCCCCTTGTATGATCTCCGGTGCGAGATACTCGTGTGTACCGACAAAGGACATAGACCGAACGTTGGTTGGTTCGGCCATGAGTTCCGGGAGGGAGCCACCGACGAAGAGGCCGAAGTCGGATTTCGACTTGCGATTCTTCTTGGAAGGGAGAATGCGAGGGAGGAAATTGGAAGGTTGCATGCAGCCATGGACAGCGGATTCGTCGTCGAGAATGCCACCGCTGCCTCCACCATTGCTGCCGTTGCTGCCGGTGTTGGAGCTGCCGTTGACGTTGATGGAGGAGGATTTGACGAGGGTCGGGCTGACAGAGCAGCGAAGGGAGAGGTCGAAATCGGAGAGCATGATGTGGCCTTCGTCTCGGATTAACAGGTTTTCGGGTTTCAAATCTCTGTAGACTATGCCTAACATGTGAAGGTATTCCAATGCTAATAGAACCTCTGATGCATAGAACCTGTGGATATCACATTCAAAAACACACACGCAGCAAATTCAACTGATTATGGGACATGTTAATGCAAAGAAATATAGAAAAACAATCTTAATACAAATATTCTAATATAGCTTGAAATCGTGCTCATTAGGGTGTTCGAGGATTAGGTTAATTGTTCATTAAGGTGTTCGAGGATTAGGTTAAGTGTTCATTAGGGAGGTTAAGTGTTTTTTAGGGTGTTTGTGGATTAGGCTAAATGTTCACTAGGGTGTTCGTGGATCAGGTTAAGTGTTCACTAGGGTATTCGTGGATCAGGTCAAGACATTTAATCAAAACAATTCTTATTAAGTAATGAATCCAACTCAACTCCATCTTGGGTTAATTTTTATTTAAATTTTTTATCCTAATAAAACTAAAGTATTAGTTGGTAAAATATTTATTTATTCTCAAATATTTAACTAAAATTTACAAAAAAATTGCCACTCAATTTCAATATATATTTTTTTAAAAATTTTCGTTTAAATTTTAATTTGTAAGCGTGAGTAGAAGAATAAATGATAAATAAAATAATCAAAACCCGAATCCAACCAATCCAGACTATCTAACCCAAACCGTAAACGTTGGTTTAGGATAGATTTTTTTATTCGATTTAGATTGGGTTGAAATCATAGAAATCCAAAAATTTGAATCTGTTCGTGGGTTGACATTTTTACAGGGTTACAACCCTACACTATCTAAATTTAAAGGCTATTATGAAAATTAATAACATTTGATGTTTGTAACCTAAGTTAGTAATAGTCAGTCATATGTCGTGATTTGTGAATGTTTGATATTTGAATTTTATGACATTTTAGTTATCAATGTAACATGTATAGTAAATAAGTAATTTTGTAAAAATAATTAAAAATAAAAAAGAAAACTCAACTCAACAACACATAAAAAAAACAAGAGTGTTAGGTAAGGTTAGGTTGTGAACTCTATTCGAGTTGCTTGGGTAACAAAAAACAAGAGGGCTAAGTAAGGTTAGGTTGTGAGCTTTATTTGGGTTGCTCAGGTCACAAAAAACAAAGGGGTTAGATAATGTTAGGTTGTGAACTCTATTCGAGTTGCTCAGATCAGAAAAAACGAGAGGGTTAGGCTTTGAATTGTTACTCGAGTCACAAAAAATAAGATGGTTAGGCAAGGTTAGGATGTGAACTCTATTTAGGTTGCTTGTCATAAAAAAACGAGAGGGTTATATAAGGTTAGGTTGTGAACTCTATTCGGGTTGCTCGAGTTACATAAAAACAAGATGGTTAGGTAAGGTTAGGTTGTGAACTCTATTCGGGTTGCTCGAGTTACATAAAAACAAGATGGTTAGGTAAGGTTAGGTTGTGAACTCTATTCGGGTTGCTCGAGTCACAAAAAAACAAAAGGGTAAGGTAAGGTTAGGATGCAAACTCTATTCGGGTTTCTCTCGTCACAAAAAACAAGAGGGTTAGGTAAGGTTAGATTGCAAACTCTATTCAAGTTGCTCGGGTCACAAAAAAAACAAGAGGGTTGTGTAATGTTAGGTTGCGAACTCTATTCAAGTTGCTCGGGTCACAACAAAAAACAAGAGGGTTATGTAAAGGTTAGGTTGCAAACTCTATTAATGTTTCCCGGGTCACAACAAAGAAACAAGAAGGTTAGGAAACGTTAGGTTGTGAACCCTATTCAAGTTGCTCAAGTCACAAAAAAACAAAAAACAAGAGGGTTAAATAAGATTAGGTTGTGAACTCTATTCAGGTTGTTCGAGTTACTCGAATCACGACCCCAACTAACTCGAAATACCAGGTTAATCCAAAAGACGTTTCCAACCCATACACACAATTAGATTTAACCAAAGCCGAACAAACAAGTAGAGAGAACTAAACCGAAACGAAAAGCGAGAGAGGCAAAGAGAACAATAACCTGGCAGCTTCTTCAGTAAAATACTTGTAAGGTTGCTTTTGGCGAAGAGAATGAAGATTCCCACCGCTACAAAACTCCATAACCAAACAATAAAACTTATCAGTTTCAAAATAAGAATAAAGAGTGGGCAAAAAGGGATGATCCAAAAGCCCCAAAATCTCCCTCTCCGTTTGCGCCCTCAACACCTTATTCCGGCTAGCCAAAGACACCTTATCCATCACTTTCATAGCAAAGAACGTATCAGTCCCTCTCAATTCCACCAAATAAACACTCCCAATATCCCCATAACCAAGCCTCTTCAACAGCTGAAAATGGCTCAAATTCAACGCCGCCCCTTTCGACACCATATTAATCGCATCCCACCGCGCATCTCCGCCGGTGTGCGGCTTAATCACCACTCCCGGTGCCTCCAAACTGTCGCACCGGAAGTGGGTTTTTGAATAACCCTCGGAGTTTACTGTCGCCGTCTGATTGCCGGAATTCGCGGCGGTTTTTGCTATTTGATCGATTCTTCTCAGGTAATCTGGTGGGTGTTTTACGAAATTTGATGCGTTTACGTTCATTCCTCCGCCGTGTGAATCGATTTCTCCCTTTGATGAGTTGTTAAACATCTGAAAATCGTAAAATCAAATTAAAATAAATAAATAAATAAATCAGAATATTGATTGAATTTACAATGCAAATACCTCAGATCCGTTGGATTTATGATCGGAATTTTGCCGGATAAACAATGGCTGCAAGAAATCACGATCTCCGATCAGATTCCGGCGAGGAATAAAAAAGGATTGTTAATGGGCAACATGTTTTTGATTTGAAATATAAATATAAGAAGATCATAATCTTCAAGCTTTTACCTAATATAATGGAAATTTGAACCCAACTCAAATTCAAATAAAATCATGATATATATATATAACCAAGATTCTATTAACCTAACTCGAACATGAAATGGGTTTGAATGTTCGATTCTCGAATGTTCCTCGAAACGTCCTAGAAGTTTAAGTTGAATGGGTTGGGTGTATTTAAATCATTGAACGTAATCGTAATGCAAATAGAAACGAACCAGGGTTTCTTGATTGGAAGACAAACGAATGAAAATCGAGTCTTTTTATGCAAACTTCATGGCTTTTCGGGTGGGGAGGACGAACGAGGTGAAAATGTTGATGTTGATGTTGATGAGAATGGGAAGAGAAGAGAAAACACGAAGAACTTTGTTTAACGAGAAATTGTGTGGTTTAAAAGAATAGTAAAGATGTTGGTGAATGGTTTAGCCTTTCTTTTGTTTGTGGAGTTTAGACTTTGACAAGAGCCTCACCGCTCGCTTTCAAATTAGGTCTCGAACGAGAAAGTTTAAGAAATGATTTGACCAGAAAAACGCTATACCCAAATATCGATCAAAATAGAGAATGTCTAAATAGTTGATTTAACAATATTACTACGCAAAAAATAGCCATTAGGTTATGATGGGTACTCTTAATTTGGGATCAAATTGTCGATCTAGCTGTATCAATTGTATAAAAATATCAATAAAAATATTGATACTATATCGTTAATGAATAAATAATGGAATATTTTACTATGTCAGTTGTATAATGACCCGACTTTCTAAACTCTATACTGACCTAGGCTCATTGTTTCGTGTATGCAGACCTCGAAGATGGATTCAAAATGCAAATCCCCTCCAGATTTTTAAAACTCGTATGCTAGGAAGAGGTTTCGACACTCCCCTGATGTGTGGATCTCTCATTGTAACTGTTAGATGAACACGACTCTCTACAATGATATGATATTGTCCACTTTGAGTATAAGCTCTCATGGCTTTGCTTTGGGCTTACTAGTGGGATTTTCATAATCCAACACCTCCCCTCGAACAAAGTACGCCTTCCCTTAATCAAGGCTCGACTCCTTTTCTTTTGGAGTCATTTGTTCGATATTTGAAGATTTACCAATCTATTGGCACGACTAAGTTTAGGGCATAACTCTGATACCATGTTAGATGAACACGACTCTCCACAATGGTATGATATTGTTCCTTTGAGCATAAGCTCTCATGACTTTGTTTTGAGCTTTCTCAAAAGGCCTCATACCCAATGGAGAGAGTATTCTTTGATTATAAACCCATGATCATTTCCTAAATTAGCAGACGTGGACTAGTGGGATTTTCATCATCAACCGTCACAAAAGTAAAAAAAAAAAAAAAAAAAAAAACCTTCAAATTTAGGCCGATCTAGTTCCACCGAAAGGAATGGTGTCATTCGAAGGGGTCTCATAATAAGTCATATTTTACTTCTTTCATTTTTTTTTCTTTTATCGTGATATCAATTTCGTTGCAATTATTTAGCTTTGATTGCCAAAAATATTAGTTTTAAGAATCTAAGTCGACCATGGACATCTATTTAAAACAAAAATGTTAAGAATAGATTAAAATTGACCAAATATAATTTGGAAACAACTCTAAGGATGAACACGGATGAAAAAAAGAAAATATGGTAGGTATTAAATTGTTTCATAGAGTAGAGATAAGATTATAACAAACATATATTTTTATTTATACGAGTAATTATCAAATATATTATGAAATTTTAGTATCTAATAATATGTTAGGAGACATTATATTTATTAAACATATTTATATTTCAACCATCTCAATTGAAAGATTAAAATTTATTAAATATTTAAATGGATTATGAACTTAGTTTTCTAGAATAATCTTATAATTACACCAGACCAACTTTACATAATTTTTAATTTCAAAAATTTTAAATACAAAACAATGATGGTGTATATATGTCGAAATATTAAAAACTCTCAATAATTGGATTACAAGATGAATGATCTTTAATGTCGTTTTGTTTTAATTGATATCATTGAGATGATGAATCTAAAGTTGAATGGGAACTTGAGGAGAAAATTTAGGTAGTTGAATGGGAAATTGAGGATAAAATTTACGTGAGTACAAAGAATAATTAGTAACGGTTGCCTAGGTCAACGGGTAAGTGGTTCTACTATTAGTTCGTTGGAAGATGTAACTGTTGGATGAAAGTCCCACGTCCACTAATTTAGGGAATGATCATCAGTTTATAATCAAAGAATACTATCTTTATTTGTGTGAGGCCTTTCGGAGAAACCCAAAGGGAGAGATTATGCTTAAAGTGGACAATATCATACCATTGTGGAGAGTGGATTCGCGAGAAGAAGAGATACATAGAGAAACGAGAGAGGGAAAATTTTGAAAGCTTCTCTGACAAGAAGCTTAGGAGGTTACTTGCAACTCGTTTTGACCATCGCGAAGCTGAGTTTGACCTCGTTTAAGGCAAATAAGGTTAATATGAGGTTCAATTTTTCCATTTAAGTCCAATTGAGTTAAGAATTATTAGATTACTAATGAAATGAGATGAATATTCTAATAGAAAATGACAACCGACGATAATTTGGAGCAATTTCAAGGAATGAGTGAGTACGTACTCGAATTAAAAAAAATGTCGACTAAGGCCAACCAAGTAAGTGGCCCTACCGTCATTTGGTTATAATTGTGTGTTGTATGATGACACCTGCTCGTGGCTCCACACATGCCATATGCCATATGCCCGTATATGCAAACTGTTTTGAAATATTATATGTATGTTAGATATGATATGTTAGAATATGATAAGTTGAAAACATGCTTGAGATATGTTATGTGGCTGTTATGATGTGATATGATATGTGCATGATGTGGATTATTAGGTCTGAAAGCATGAAAACGTTATGATATGATATTGTGTGACATGAATGATATGATATGATTGACATGCAAAACGACGAACTAGCATGAAATAAAAACCCGGCACATGCATGGAAGATGTGGTAAATGATATGATATGAAGTAACATGATAGCGGGGTTGTATTATATGATAATGAAAATGGAAAAATGTTGGAACTTCATGCATTATAGTGTTCTCATGGGACTTCATGCATTATTGTGTTCTCATGCATCGGGTGATACCCCTTCTTTACGATAGTATGAATGCGTCCACCACGAGGCAAAGAAACAATCATTTTTTTACCATAACGTTGTCGTGATGGTCGCTATTCCTAATAGTTGTCCAACATCAACAACTACCAGAGAATGTTTGCCGGACCAGAAAGGTATTGATGGGTGGGTCCATTCTCGTACGTGTGAACCTTGTATAGGAAAATTAAGTACACATCCAATTGCCCACTTAGGATAGCAACGGTAGAAAAATAGACTGTTATAATAGGTCTCACTCATAAAATTGTATGTGTGCATTTAACCTCGATAGGGTCTCTTAATGAATATTTCTTAAAATACTCAAGTTATGTGCTACTCTCACTTTTCAAGTAAAGGCAATGACCTCTATTCGACTAACGGTGGCATTGTAACTAGGAAATCGTGACACATGCTTATGGAAGTTTTGTAATTTTAATTATTAGACTATAGGTTAGTATAGGTTAGTTGTATTTTCGTTTAGTAGCATATTAGTTAATATAAGACATTTTTGCTTTATGTTATTTCAATATGCATTGTTTTATTTTAAAAGCCTTAAAGCAACATGTAAGAACAAGTTCAAAGTTTTATTATAAAGTTATCAACAAAGTATTTTCGCATGATATGTATACAATAGCAAAATTAGGTTAAATAGAAAATTTAAGGTCGTCACAAAAGAATTTTTTTATGTATGATGACACATGCCCAATGGCCCTATACATGTCGTATGTGTGGTATGTATTGTTTTATGATATGCCAAGATATGCCAAATAATGTTGTGTTATAAATGAAATGTCAAATTATGTTATATTATGAGATGACATGATGTACTACGATATGAATATGCTTGGCCATGACACATTATGACATGCTATGATATGTATTTAAATGATGAATTTTTTACGATGCACAAACCCTAAATTATGATTTAAAAGTTATGCTATGAATGAAATGATTTAGGAAAGTTTATAAATGTATATTATCGAGTGTAATTTGTAAGGAAATAATAGAGGCGGTCTTGCATGATTTATTACAATATAAAATATGGGGACCTCATGCATAATTGTATGTTCACATGCATCGGAATACTTCTCTTTTATGATGAGTATGCTCACGTACACTATAAGACTGAAATGTTCATCATGTTTATCATGATGCTACAACCGTTGTTATTCCATTTGGGTGTCTGACAACAACCTAGAGAAGCTAGCTCGATTAGCAGGCAGAGGGGGTGTGCGAGCTCGCTAGGTGGGCCCATGCTCATACATGTAGGTTGTGTGTAGAGAAACATTGCACATCGAATTTGCTTGGATTGGGAGACCGCTTAAGAGAATACGATTTTAAATGATAGGTCTCATTCATGTTGCATGTGTTTGCATTTCTTAATCCCAAGAATACGATTTTAGGCTTTCACTTTCGGGCTTCCCTTCTTTTCAATCGATGTGAGATCTCACAATCCACCTACCTCGGGGCCAGCGTTCTTGCTGGCACTCGTTCATCTCTCTAATCAATGTGGGATCTCATAATCCACCCCTATTGAAACTCAACGTCCTCGTTGGCACACCGCTTGGTGTCCACCCCCTTCGAAGCTTAGTGTTAAAACGTGTCAACTAGGGGAGGTTTCCACACCCTTATAAAGAATGTGTCGTTCCCCTCTCCAATCAGTGTGGGATCTTACAATTTGTGGATCTCATTAGTGACCTTAGGTTAAGTATTTCCGCATTAAATGTTTATGATATGTATACCGTAGCAACCTTAGGTTAAGTAAAAAATTTAGAGTCATTACA